AATAAAATAAAAGACTATTACTATATCTACTATAGAAGTAGAGCTCCTTACGTTAGTAGAAGTAGGTAAAACTATCTAGTAGTAGCGCCGAGTCCTCGAATCCTTAGGTTTTAAACCTAACTATCTACTCTCTATTATATACGATAACTAGTAAACTATCGATTTGTTAATAAAGGAGGGAGCGGCGATATATACGAAGCTGCGGTATATAGATATTAACCGATGTTAGATAAAATAGGAGGTTAGTGAAGGTCGAGTCTATATTAATTAGATTCTAACTGCTAATATACTGGTAGATAGCCTTATAAAGAGCTTACTAAAGCAAAAGTAATACCTGTTTTGAGTCCTCCTTGGGATAAGAGATATTAGTGAGCGGATTAACTAAGAAAACAGAGGTTAATCCTGCTAACTATAGAGAAATGGAGGAATTGGAAGATGAAAATCATCCTGAAATTGAGAGAAAAGGTAGTTATTGAAGGCTATGAATACCTTTAAAAACTAGGGGGTATGTCGAAAGCTATATTATAATATATGACTGGGAACCCGAGTATTTAATACCTCGGAAAATACATGGACCGCTATGATAGTGGGCCCCATACAAATTGTATATTAAGCTTAGTCAGTTATGCCCCAGCAAATTGTCAAATAGGGGATTCTTGTCATTTTAGTTAGTTAGAGTCATACATATCTGTCATTTTGAAACATACATTGCTGTACCGGTGATTTCCGACATTTTCCTCTAAGTGCACGCCCTCCATGAAGTCAATAATCTGTTGGTACACCCAAGCTGCCCTGTCGCGGATTCTGAACGGAAGGATTTTCCCCCTATGGTTCGGAGCTAAGAACAAGACCCGCCCTTCTTCACACGCCTTATGATCGGCGACAAGAACCATGATAGACTGTAATTTTTCTAGCCTATCTGGTTTATCCTACCAATCTGTCGGCCAATCGCGACGCGACAGACCATCAAGCATATCTGGTCTGTGCATCAGCGCTGTGATCATATACGATGGCAAAGAGCCTGGCGTCCCGTAGGCGATTCTATCCATGAAATCGGGATTCGTATCTCCATCAGGCATAGTGATACTACCAGGGCCAAATTCCTCCTTGTTCTCAACGATACACTCTTTCTCAATGCCCGGACACACATCGTTTAATTCTCCGTCGCTAAACATAGCCACACAGAGACTTTGATTTCCTCGGGAAGCAGATTATCACCCTCTGGGTATTTCTATCTCTCAATCAGCGTTAATCTATCTAAGAAAGGGAAAAGTGAGGTCTAAGGTTATAATACGGGCAGTCTTGCTAAGCCGAGTCTAAGACTCAATAAGGGCACGGAATTGTTGGGTTTTTATAAGAGGAGAATGGGGATCCCATTTTTGCTGTTGTAATATTAGTGACCTACGTCGGGTTTGTTCGCCCTAAAAGATTTACCATAATATGATAATCGAAAGGCAGGTGGCCGAATGGGACCATCTCAATTTCTTCCGTTTTGTAGCATGAATTGAGCGGACTTTGTTTCAGGTTGATCGAGAACTCGCACAAAATGTGAGAAATAGAGGGAAGGGAGGTGTAGGAAATACGAGAGACAAAGAATGAAAGAAGGAAAGAAAAAGGCAGCGAAGACTACATAATATAAGCGCCATGGCACAAAGTCACTGCTTTCACTGGCAGTACATCGAAGGTACTTTGCATTTAACACCTGGGCCTCATTCCACGATAGCTACCTTGCCTTTTCCAGGCCTTGAAGCGAACTATTTGAACTGTCCCTAGACTTCTTATCATTCACAGCCTCCCTCACCCGTACCATGTCCGTGCCCAAGAGCTCTTTCACCCCACCTCCTGGAACACCAATCTATCAGCTAGCCATAAAGCCTATTTTAGATGCTCTCGAGCCGTGTGAGAAGTTCTATGCTCACTATTGTGTACAGGTAGTATGGCATGGGAGTAGAATTATCATGAGACAGGTGTCGCCAAAAAGCCCAGACCTCTTCGACTTCATTATGGACCTTGGACCTCTATCATGCTTGCGATGGAAAATGGGACACCTTAGTCACTCAATGCAATATCACACCCGAAGAGCTCGAAATATTTATGGAGTATGCCGCAATGTTCCTCTGCAACTTAGGAAACTTCTATGTAAGTTCGGAACCGAAGCACTGCAGAGGATCTCAAGCACCTCCCAAAAGACAAAGGAAAGCCTAGACAAAATCGTCAGTCCGCTATTGGCAGTCCCGCCATTCAACCTTGGGTATCCCGGCAAGAGCGCACAGTCGGGCTATTATCCTGGCACTGAACTCATGTCCCAAGATAAGATCGCCCAAGTGTCGGAGGCAATAATTGAACACTCCATTGGGCTAGAGAATACCAGAGTTCAAAAGCTAATTAAGGATGGAAACCCTGCATATCATTTGCTTAACATATAAACCAATAACCATGATTTCCTTCTGATAGGGAAGAGAGTTGAGCTTATTTAGACTATTAGGCCTACATATCTACATGCATGTATGTAGATAGATATACCCTCTATGGTAGAGGGAGAAGTAATTGAACTATTTAGGTATCTGTCACAAAGGTTTAGTCGATAGAACACATATCCCATGAGTCCTGGATCTCCACAATTTCAGGTTCCTCTTGAACATGCCCCTCTTGGACATGAATATGTTCAGACTCTTTTGAGTGGGGAGACATGGCCGCGGCCTTCTGGAAGAAGTAGACCAGCATACCTAGGACCTTTTCATGGTCCTGATGACGGGCGATGATAACACGCTCGCTCCACTAGTCAAATGTTAATGAGGCAGTTAGATATGACAAATTGTACAAATACTCACATTGGAGTCGTGGGAAATTTTCAAAAACCAGAAAACTTGATCATCGGATACTAACCCGTAGATCGTGGAGTCCTTGTTCTTCAATTTCTGTCGACGCTTATGCACGAAGGCTTTAACGAGTAAGATCCTTAATTTTCAATGACAGAAATATCATTGGACACTCACCCATACAGGCTAGGGTTTGGGCTAAGCTCATTTGCATTTCCCCAGATTTAGCTTCAACCACAACGGTATTCAACGCCAGGTTCTTCCTATCGCCGTACCAGATCCCATAGTCCGGCTTTCCGACCAATGTGCGTTTCTTTCTATCCCAACTCACAGGGCCGTATCTCCATGTTGTCTCAGTCTTGATGCTGAGGAACTGGACAGCATCAGGGAGACGAGATAGAACGACATCGCGAGCAAGAAGGAGGAGGATGAAGGTATAGGTACGAGGTATTTCGCCTTCACATGATAAAACTTTACAGTCACCTGTGGACGAAGTTTCTGCTGAATAGAGCTAGCCGAAGGTGAGATGATTTGCTTTGTTCTCGGTTTACCAGGCTGTGAGGGAATAGGAACTGGAGGCACAGCCTCGAGCTCATTGTCATTGACAACATGCTTTAGTTTTAGGATGAGCTGGACCTTTTCGAGGTCCAAAGAGGAGACTGTGAGCATATTTTTGGATGTGATTTCCTTGTTAGATGAGGAAGATAAGCATGTCAGCCGGGCCATAATACCTATATAGCTAGTGACAGGTGATAGCGATAGTAGTTGATACAAATGGTTATAAAATGCTGTAATATGCTCTCAAAATGATGATCATATAATGACTGCTTGACCCTTCAAATGCTCTCAAGTTGAACTTGAAAGCTAAAGTTTCTCGTCCACAGCCCCAAGGGCTACTATTCCTCAAGAGCAACAACAAACCTCAAAAGGATGTCAACGAGTCGTTAAATGGCCAAATAATCTTCTTTCTAATTTCCGGGTGAATTTTATTTTGGCGTCAACCTCAAGAAGGGTAACAAGCGACAGTGTGGTGCCCCGGGGCCTCCCCTGCGGCTGAATAATGATATTAGCCTGAGGCCCCAATATCCTCAACGTCAACCCTCAAACTTCAACAAAAGTGATATCGACATGATGGATTCAAACGAGAAAGAGGTATATATGAGATAATTATCTTCATATTTCTATACTAACACCAAAGAAGAAAAAGATTGTCAGTGCAGAGGAGTATCAACAAGCTCGAATGGATCTCCTCCAACAAGAAAAAGAAGCCACACAGTTACTGCAAAGACTAGCTACCTCGCGTCGGGAACTCCCCATGGTCGAAGTCTCCAACCCGGACCAATTCAAATTCGACACACCAGACGGGGAAAATAGTCTTTTAGATCTTTTCGACAGCCGCAAGCAACTGATAATCTACCATTTCATGCTCGGCCCCGGTGAACATCGCGGGTGCGTGGGATGTTCCTTTTGCATGGATCATATTCCCAACCTCGGACACCTCTGGAGCCGGGACACCTCGTTTGTGGCCGTTGCCACTGCGCCATTATCCGAGATCACTACGTACAAAGAGCAGATGGGATGGAAGTTTCCATTTTACAGCTCTGCCAAAACTCATCGGGTGTGGCAGAAAGCCGAAGAAAGGGGTGAGATCATTACTTGGAAGCCTGGAAATGGGTATTTTGGTCTAAGCGTTTTCAAAAAACAAGATGATCGTGTGTTCCATACCTATGATACTACCTCTCGGGGGATGGAAAGTATCCTGTCGACATATCATCTGTTGGATATGACGCCGATGGGTCGGCAGGAAGTAGGGAATGGGATGGGCAATTTTAGGCTTCATGATGAATACTGAGATGAAGCATAAAACAATTAAGATTGAACTTATTTATATAAACGATAGTGTTGGCATATCTATTCCACGGGGCACTCTGATTGGTCTGTGACTGATGCAGGGGTGAGTCAACGTGGTTAAAATCATCTTGACTCTGCCAATTACAAAGTGTAGAACTCGAGAAAGGATTGTTGAGTTCGACGCTTTTTTTTCGAAAAACAGGAGCAAAATTATTTCATTTGCGTGCATTGATACCCATCGTGATATTTCCCGTGGACAACAGCTCTAGACCCTGTCATGCTCTCCTTCCTTCGAAACTTCAAGCGCATACAGAAATCACAAGGAGCCTATCTTTCCATAACCTGCCGAGGTAAGCCAATGGAAGCTCATATTAGTTCCTTTTACTAAATTGCAAAGGCAGATCAATCGGCCGGGAAGAACTCTTTGCCTATACCAATGGCCGTTTCCTTGTTGACGAAAAGAACCAACTTGACCGACGATATGTGAAATTCAACCTAGACGCGCTTTGCAGTACTGCTGCAACTGTTGGCGGCCAGTCATCTCCAATCACGGCCATTGAGAAGATGGAAGGCGGCTTTAGCAAAGTCCTTCTGATGCAAAAGGAGAATGGGATGGAAGTCATCGCCAAAATTCCGTGTCGCATTGCTGGGCCTGCAGTCTTGACCACAGAATGCGAGGTGGGTGTGTTAGAATTCTGTATGCGATTCCTGGGTCACCGTGCAGTAAAACTCCAGTTACTAATACTTAGCAGTAAGGAAACACACGAGTATCCCCGTTCCCCGGGTACTGTCCTGGTCCTCGGACAGCTCCAACGCCGTGGGGGTTGAATACATCATTATGGAGAAAGCCCCAGGGGTCCAGCTTTTTGAGGTTTGGGGAAAGATGCCAAAAACAGAAAGACCACAATTCATTAGAAGCCTAGCAAAGCTGGAGGCCCAGCTGTCGGCTATTCGATTTCCTGCATCTGGGGGGCTTTATCTGCAGAAAAAGACAGGCTTTTCGAAGTGCACACCTCTCGACAAGGATATTGATCTGACGAGTTCTTTCTGTATCGGTCCCTCTTGTGATCGTGCATACCAAACAGAAGAAATTGAAACCCCTGTTATCCCAAGTGTACATGATACCGGGCCTTGTGAGTATAGTATCCTGCGATTCGACAATAGCATGAACTAAAATATGCTCTTAGGGAATACCATCTCAGCCTTAGGGATATCCATTGCAAGAAGAGAGCTATCTAAAATTTCCAACGGACATCTTACGAGCCATGCACATTTCTACCGTGGAAGTGTTGAAGAACATACCCAGCTCCTAGAAACTACGATACGTCTCATGACTCATTTGGATGCCAATACCATTCTTTCGCGGTCTTCTCAACCAACACTTTGGCACACAGATTTACATATGGGAAACATTTACGTCTCGCCCGAAGAACCCTCACGGATAGTATCTTTCATTGATCTGCAAGGCGTACTGGTCTTACCAGCCTTCCTCCAAGCACGGTGGCCAGTGTTCCTAAAGCCGTGGGAGGAGAGTAAATACGTGAGAGGTCCTGTACAAGTGAAGCTGCCAGACGACTTCGACCAATTAGACGAGGAAGAAAAAAAGGCTGCATTGAACGAGTGGGAGCAAGACATGCTAGCCAAAACCTACGAGATCGCCACGTATCTCGAGAATAGACCGGCGTATACCGCCATGAATGTGCCGCGAGTTTTTCGAGAGCTGTTCATCCGTTGCGGTGAGACATCGGAGACGGGCATTCTTCCACTTCGTGAATGTCTCATAGAGATATCCCAGAGCTGGTCCAACTTGGGGTTCACTGGAGATTGTCCATTCTCCTTCACCGAGGAAGAGATCGAGACTCATGGGCGTCAATTCGCTGATTATGAAGATTGGCACCAAGTCCAGGCCTTTGCTCAGGAATGTCTAGATACCGATGCGGAAGGCTGGATATCACCGCAGTTGGATTTCGAGAACCAACGAAACTTGAACAAGCAATTGCAGGACATGTACATTAAACAAATGGCGGGCGAGAAGACTCTCGAGGAAGTGCAAGCAATTTGGCCTTTCCCATTATGAATGTGCCGTCGAGGTTTGAAGAACCAGACGGGTTTCTTTCTTAATTTTTGATATCCGACATGTATGATAGAACAACTCCCAACTTCTCACCCTTTGATGTTCTCATAATCCGCCGTAAGGGTTTCCTTAATGATAGCCAAAATAGCTTTGACATCTTCATCAGACAGTCGGAGTTCCCGCTCTTCAATAACACCATCCATCAAGACGACCGCAGTGTAATCATCTTCCTCGCCCTCTTCATCCTCTGCTTCCCCATCCACATCCATTAAATCTCCTCCATTAGCACCTTCCTCCTTAGCCTCCTCAGTAGCAGGATTACCGCTCAGTCCCACCCCAAGATTCAGGATCATAACGACCTCGGCTTTGGTCAGTCCGTACGGTTGTAGGCGAACTACTAAGTCCCGGAGTGCGGTGTCCATTGGCGTTATTTCTGTGGATGGGATTGGTGGCGGCAGGGAATTAGCATCTGCCTCTGTAATTGCTGAATTTGAGGTTCGCAGTGTGCCGGTCATTGCGGCTTGCGATTGTGATTTCGACTGGGAGGAGGAAGGGCGGGCTGTGTAGCGGGGGTATCGTAGGAGGTGGGGGGAGAGACGGCTTGCATAGTTGTGAATCTGGGAGTATTTAATCAGTCGTTTTTCTTCTATGGTTGGTCTCTTGGTGTCTGGTTTTGGAGCTTGGGGTCTGGTCGACTCCGCTTCGCGCTGGGGTCTGTGGTGTACTTGCAAGTGGCCACAACGCCCCGTTGAAATATGGCAGAACTGTATAAGGGTTCTCACCTCTTTGACAACTGTATTATGGTCTCTGAGATCTGGGCTTGGTGCCCAGTTCCCCGAATTTGGCGGTGGTCGGCGGGGTGGATTGGAGGTCAAATAGGCCAGGACCTCGACGTTGGTCAGGACGGCCGTTTGGGGGTCAATGATCTAAATTGTTTGGTTAGCAGAAATCCTGAGCTTCAGCTAGAATAGATCTTACCCTCATTTTGTGTGTTGAATATGGCGAGATAGACTGGAGAAAATGGGTGACTGAAATGAAGAAAGGAAAATTGTTTGAACTGCCGGCAGAAACTGGGCGGTGTCTTTATCTACCTGCATATCTAGACCAAATCGGAGGATATAGAGCCAAAGCAACGGTGATGAGACTGGAACAGAGTTGGTTGAGACTATATCTTACGATGCATGTGCTACAACCTTACAATCAAGTACTGAAGTATGAACAGATTATTCCAGCTAAAACTGTACTGCCTTGTTCCTAACGAGCACCCTCTGCGCCAGTGAAAGACCGGTAGATCAACCTCAAAATGCCCCAAAACATGCGAGCAACAGGAAAGGAAGATTGCAACAAAAAAAAGAACAGAAATGAAAAAGTGTGATATCATACAGATCCCAGGAAAGCCATCCGGTCACATTGCACAAACTTTTGAAAACATACGCTTACTCTCCCTTAGACTTCTTCTTCTTCTTCTTCTCGTCGTCATCTTCGGAACGCTTGCGCTTCTTTCCATCGTCCTTGCTGGACTTCTTGGCCTCCTTCTTGGACTTCTTCAAGTCCTTCTTGCTGACTGAAGTGGGGTTGCCTTCTTTGTCGAAGGTGATCTCGCCACGCTCGAGCTTCCGCTCGTATCGCTTAACGCTGAGACCAGCCTTGGCAGCCAATTCCTCAATGTCGCTCTTCTTGGACTTCTTCTTGGGGGCCTCATCCTCGGACTCATCAGAATCCTCAGCCTCCTCATCAGAGTCAGCATCAGCCATCTCCTCATCCTCAACCTCCTCGACGAGCTTCTTCTTCTCCTTCTTGGACTTCTGAACAGCAGCAGGCTCCTCGGAGGCCAGAGCATCGGCATCGGGGTTGTACTTGCGGGCTTCCTTCAGGTCGAACTTCTCGGCCTGAACACCGTTGGGGGCAATGGCAACACCACGGGGCTTAATGGGCTTGCCCTCCATACCAGCAAGCTTGCGCTCAAGGTTGAAGCGGGCCTCGGTACCGAGAGCAGCCTTGTCCTCCTCGGTGGCATCCTCACCCCACTCAGCGAGGGAGTCGACACGGATACCCAGAGAGGCCTTGGCGGCGAGGATACGGGCCATCTTGCCCTTGTTGCGGCCGGTGGCCTGGCCGATCAAAGAAGCGTGGTAGATCAGACCGTACTTGGGAGTATCGTGCTTAGTCTTGAGGGCACGGAAAAGGGCCTTCTCGGCACCCAGAATCTGGATGGTACTGGCGGGGCTCTTGGACAAGCTAGTGAGGGAGCCAGCGTGGGCAATAAGACGGGCACCAACGAGATCACCGACAAGGGCAGTCAGGTTGGGTGCGATGGCGTTCATGCGGGAAGTGAGGTAGCTGGCAAGCTGGGAGCGGTAGTCGTAGAAACCAACGACCTGCTCAGCGAGAGCCTGGATGTTCTCCAGATCCTCGGGGCTGATCTCGGTACCCATGGAGCGATCGGCAGCAGCCTTGACGGCACCCTCGATCTCCTCGGGGAGGATCTCAGCAAGATCAGCGGACTCCCAGTTGGAGCGCATACCCATCTTCAGAACGAGCTTGGCGTAGGCAATGTTGTCGTTGAGGATCTTAGCCAGCTCGGGGAAGTGCCATCCGTACCATTCCTTGACACGCATAGCGTAGGTGTTCAGCTCCTTGTCAAGATCATCGAGCAGACCGATGGCCTGGACGATCATAGTGTCGATCTTGTCGGGGGAGAACTTGAGCTTGTGACGGGCGAGAGAGTGGGACAGACCAAGGGACATGGTGGACATATCACTGGGGGCAAGGCCGGGAATGAGGGTGGTGAGGTGCTCACGGATGGCACGGAAGATGTCGTTGGTGCTGGAGTCAGCAATCAATTGGATGTCAAGACCGGGAAGCTTGCTGATGGAGTTTCCTATTTGCAACCACAGTTAGCACACATACTGCGGGAAGAGATTTTACAAGATTGACCTACCGAGCTTGGTATCGGCAACGGCGAGAGACACCTTCTTCTCATCCTTGATGCCGTCAAGAAGCGAGGCCAGGGCGGGGGTGACCTTGCCCTCCATGATGGAGGCAGCCTCCTCCAGAGCTGAGGCAGCGCTGTCGAACTTCTGGAAGCTCTTCAGCTTGAGACTAGAGGTTTTGTTAGTGACATTGTCGGCGATAACAAATTTTTTGCGCCCGTTCAGCGAGTCGGTTTCTTCCCACCAAAATTTTTATTTGGCAGGATTAGAAGACACAATTGACGTACAGGTTGGAGACACCCTCTGCAGTGGAAGCCTCCTCGGCGATATCATCACGCTTGAGGAGCTTCTTGTCCTTGGCCTTCAGCAGGGCATAGCCCGCGCTGGTCTCAGTAAGGATGAAAAGCGTCATGGTGCGCGGCCACGGCGTTTAGGATCGAAAAATAACAGGAAAGAAGAAACTAATCAAAGCGAACGATAAACCGAACTGAAGAACTGGTGGAAAAAATAATTAGCGTAGGGCGTGTCGGCCACCGGTGTCGTTGGAGAAATTGAATCTAAATTTGCACGGAAGAAAAAAAGTTGAAAAGCGGGTGCCACGAGTGGCTTGGGCGTGTGGCTAGGTGAATGACTAAGCCCGGTGCGTGTTCAGGACGGATGGAGCTACAGCTGTGTCTCTCCAATCATCTTCTCCACAGTCACCATGGAGGGCCTATTCTTTAATGTTAACGGCGGGTATGTGGTCTGTGTCTTTGCTTGGTCCGAATAGCCCGTTGTTGACTCTCTTAGATATGTCGAGGGCATTGTTCGCGGCTATCGCAACAGCCTGTTGAGCGGCCAGAACTATTCCAACCTCACTCAATGCGAGACAATTGATGGTACGCTCTACTGACCCCACTGACTATGTTGCAGATTCTACTACTGCATATTGATTCTGACAATCCCATCCCATAGATGTCAAGCTCCAGCTTGCTCCCTCATATGGCGACTTCCTTGCCTCTCTTTCCCCCAACCCCTCCACCTCCGATCTGGCGAGCCGGATGACCGACAAACTGGTGTCTGAGTTCAAGTACCTGATCGCACAAGCTACAGGCTCATCTGCCAAGTTCCTTGAATACATGACATATGGATACATGATCGACAATATTGCCCTGTTGATCACAGGCACTCTACATGAACGAGACACCCGAGAACTCCTGGAGCGATGCCACCCACTAGGATGGTTCGAGACACTTCCTGTGCTGTGCGTCGCGACAAACATCGAGGAACTGTACAACTCGGTACTGATCGAGACCCCACTGGCCGCCTACTTCAAGGGCAGTCTGAGCCACCAGGACCTGGATGAGCTGAACATCGAGATCGTTCGCAACACCCTCTACAAGAACTACTTGGAGGACTTCTACAACTTCATCAACACCCACCCAGACTTCAGTGGAACACCGACACAGGACGTGATGGCGGAAATTCTGCAGTTCGAGGCCGACCGCCGTTCTATCAATATTACTCTCAACTCCTTTGGCACTGAGCTGTCCAAGCTCGAGCGGAGGAAATTGTACCCGGAGTTCGGCAAGCTCTACCCGGAGGGCAGTCTTATGCTTTCCCGCGCAGAGGATGTTGAGGGTGTGGCCTTGGCTGTAAGCGCTGTCGCCGATTACAAGGCATTCTTCGATGCTGTTGGCCTGAGCCAAGGCGGCGGCGGTATGGGCGGTATGGGCGGGGGCCCGGCCGATGGGAAGAGTTTAGAGGATCTTTTCTACCAAAAGGAGATGGATCTGTCAAAGCTGGTCTTCACCCGTCAGTTCACCCCGGCTGTGGTGTACGCTTGGATGAAGCTGAAGGAGCAGGTAAGCCTCTAAAAAGTAATCTCTCTAATTTTTGAGTATGAAACTAATATCGTCTAGGAAATCCGAAATGTTACCTGGATCTCGGAATGCATTGCTCAGAACCAAAAGGAGAGAATTGGAAACTTCATCTCCGTTTTCTAAGCTTGACTCGGACATTCCATGATTTTCTGTTTTCCCACCTCTTTGTACTTACCCATCTTCCTGGCTGGTGTTTTGCTTTGGTTGCCAGCCGCTTTTCGTTGTATCGAGTACCCAGTTTGTTCTTTAACGTGAGCGCATCGACCTCTTTTTCCTTGATCGGAACAATCCGATTATCTTTGATTTCGGCTGTTTTGCTTTTTTCTTTTCTCTCGTATGAGGCGTTTGTAACATAGAAGGACAAAATACAGATATACAGATATTTACATGTATTTTGTTGGTATAGGGGGTTTCCTATTTGAGCTCTTTTATGGACTCCAGGCGGCTCAGTAGATGTCAGCACGGATGCTTGGGTCACGTGCAGACTCACTCTAGCATGTGGATCCATCCATGGATGCTCCCTTTGATTACTTGCTAGTCATTGGTGCAGCGAGATTACCTACAACAAGGTACACTTAATTAACTAGTCAGCCCACTGTACATCAATGTACAACAAGGCCGTGAACCAGCTAACCTTAGGATCACCAACTCTATACATATAAAAGTGTACATCAGTTATGAGCCCTCAAGCCTTCACAATTCCCACAACCTCTCCCAATGAATCAACCACAAAATCCGGCTTCAATTCCTGGCAAGCCTCCTGGTCGCCATACCCATACCGACACCAGCAGACCTTGCTCTTAATATTCCTTGCGAACTGAACATCCGCCACCGTATCACCTACCACCAGCACCTTCTCCGAGTCAATATCCTCCACCCCATATTTCTCCCTCAAGACGGGAACCAGAACATCAACAAAGCTAGCAGGATCGGGCTTGCGCTTTGCTCCGGGTGTCTTGTCGCCGATGATTAAATCCTCGGGCACGTAGCCGTCCAGACCATTTCGCTCCAGGGCGGTTTTCACAGCGGCCACACCCTTGTTACTAACAATGGCAATAGGGATCTTGTGGGCATTGAGTTCGGTCAGGAGATCCTTGGCGCCGGGGAAGGCTTTGATGAGTAGTTGGCCGTGGGTAGCATAGAGGGCGCGGTATTTCTCAATGCACTCGTCCTCGACTGTCGGAGTGAATTCCGCGGGAGAGGGATGTAGGGCTTTGAAGGTGTCTGCTAGGCCGGCTCCGCTGGCGATGAGACGGTGGATTTCGGATTGGGGAGGGGTGTGGGTGGGGAGGAGGGCATCGAAGGTGAGTTTTATGGTTTGGGAAATTGATTCATGGGTATCGAATAGGGTGCCGTCGAAGTCAAAGATTGCGAGGGCTATCATTTTGACGATTGAATGTGTTTTAAAGATGGGATGATTGGTAGTATGAAGTTGAATAAACACTGTAGAGCAGGTCGAGTAGATAAAGAGTACGAGGTACTCCCACAATTATTACCCCCCACCCACCCAGTGAATCCCTGAAAAAAAAGACCCCTCGGGAAATGAATTAGATTCTCCTAGTCAGGGATCTTGCAGTAGCGTACATAGTTACGTGGCTTATGCCGCTAATGCGATGTTACATTGAGATAGTGGACTCCGTAGATACGAACTACATACAGGTTTATAATAATAATGATAATGACTTTTTACCAATGTAGAGCAGTAAGCCCTAGTTTAATAGTCTAGACTCTACAATTGTCTCTACTCATTGTAAAATGCACAATTATGAGACCTGCATGCTCACGTAAAGCCAAGCGCCTACCTAGGTATATATACTACATAACAATCACCTCGGGCACAAAGTCACTATAGCCATCTACACTTCAACTCTTGATATAGACTCTAAATCTCTCTTCGATATGACGAAGGCAGAAGAAAAGATGGCCGCCTCAGCTCCCATCATCGAACTCCCTCAAACCCCAACCCTCACTAGTCTAATGACAACCTTCTGCTCTCCAACATCCACTCCCAAAATCATGCAAGACACAATCCACGCCTTGACCCACGAGATAATTTCCACAGCCAAATCCCATGACCAAACCCTTGCCCAATCCCCCACAACAATGATCCCCATTCTCCGTGGAGCCTTACCCATGTTCGTGGCTGCGCAGCCCCTCCTCCCCGCTACCTCGTGCATTCTAGCCCGCTGCAGCAAGACAAAGGGCACGCAGGATGTGGTAGTGGATTGGCTGGGCCGACGACCATTCCCAGCGGAGTCCGATGATGGGAAGATTGTGATCCTCGATACGATCATCGCTACCGGGGATACAGTCGTCAAGCTTTGCGAGGAAATGTGGGAGATGAGCGGGAAGCAGGCAAGGTCGGTTGTAGTACTGTGTACATATGCAGCGCCCGAGGCATTGGAGAGGGTGGCGCGTTGTCCAGTGGTGGAGTATGTGGTTGTTGGGAGACGGGCTGAGAGGTGTGATGAGAGGGGGTATTTGGTTCCGTATACGAATGGGGATATAGGTGATAAGATCTACGGCGGGGTGTGGAGTAAGGAAGGGAAGATGGGGGAGCCAGTTGTTGCGGAGGGAGAGGAGGTGCAGAGTGTTTTGTCGGGGGTGCAGAGCTTGCTAGTTGAGAATGGGGGATTGTGGAAATTGACGGAGGATGGATTGGCTATTGAACGGGAGATTCAGTTCCCTGGATTTAAGCAGGCCTGGGTGAGTTTTGTTGCTCATTGATGTTTGAAAGTGTCGCTGACCAGGAACCAAATCAAGACCTTTATGAAACAGGTTGCAGATGAAGCGACTAAGCTTCGCCATCATCCCGAATGGACAAATGTATGTTATGTCGCTTCGAGTATTCCTTTTTCTAATTACCCTACTGATGAGATGCTGAAGGTCTATAACAAAGTCTCTGTCCGCTGGACAACTCACGATCCTAAAGGTTTGACCAAGCTAGATGTTGTCATGGCTCAGGTCTGTGATAGCTATGTATAAAGGATCTCTATTCTATTTTCGTCTCTATTTAAACCTTTTTCGTGATAGATAGTCCTGCAAGTACCGCTCTCGCTGCAATGAAGAAGAATACACTTGCTACCATCATTGTACCTGAAAAGACCTGCAATCCCCAGTAGGTGCCGTTTTGTCGGCTCAAGATTGCTCCAGCAATGGGACTTCCCGTGAGCGATGCAATACTGATGCAAGTAAATAAAACGCCCTGGCGAACACCGATCTTGGTCACGTCGGGGGAGATCTGGCCCAGCAGGGCGGGTACCATGCCCACGAAGGCACCCGATGCAAACCCATAGCACATGCTAAAGATGACATAGACTGCCACGCTTCCTGGGGAGAGAAGGGTGCCTGGAAGCCAGAGGGCTAGGATAACGATGGCGGAAAGGGAGCACATGGCGATCATAACGTTGAATCGGCCCAGTTTGTCCCCTAGGTAACCTGGTAGAATTCGACCAGGGAGACTGCAGAATGGGTTAGGTCGATCATGGTCTTCTCTTTCCAGAATAGACAGTAGTACTCACCTGGCGGCATTAAGTATAGTCAATAAGTATCCAGCTAGGTCGCGGTTGACTCCCCCATCCTGAGCCTCTAGAACGACATAACTGATTGGCACAAACATGGCGAAGAATCCGCAGCAGGATGCCAGCATAAGCAAGACAAACGGCACCTCCGAAAACGGACTCGTATAATCACTCAGCTTCACTGGTCGCGGGACATTTTTGATTCTCGATCGGACAGTCAGGTTGGCAATCACCAGGAGTGTCAGGATGATGAATCCAGAGATACGCAGAGACCATCCGAACCCGATCTTAGGGAAGAGTCGAGACAACATGGTTGGGAATACAACACCACCCAGTGACGAGCCGCTGGAAACGATTCCAAAGGCCAAGGCACGTCGTTTCTCGAACCACGTTGCGGTACATGAGAGCGCGGACGAGAATACAAAGCTTGCGCCAAGAGGACTGCAGATTCCTTGGGCTAGCAAGAATTGATAGTACTCCGTCGATATGGAGGTCATCATAATACCAAAGACGTGAAGACATGTCCCAATAAGAAGTAGCCATTTCGGGCCATAATTATCGAAAACCTGAGAAAGAAGGTTAACATGTATACCTCCTAGGCTTGATAGGGCTATATTTACTCTTCCAATGACAATTCCAGCCGCAAAGAGTACAAATGGTTCCAAAGATAAAATCCATGAGATGCTGGAGGCTGAATAAGAATGCAATTGATTGTTCTGGTAATACTCTTGGAAAATGCCAATTGCTGGGATAATGCGCATCAGGTTATCGGTCGGCATGAGAGATATGAGGAATGGGGAGGAAAGGGATGATCCTCACCATTTACCCAGCCAAAAGCGCAAAACAGACAGCACCATGCTCCAAAGACGACTGTCCAAGCGCGAAGTCCTTGATCCAACTGTCCAACTAGTTCCTCCTCGCTGCCAGAGACAGCCACCGTAGTTTTCGATTCCGTGGTTGCCATGTCTAGAGCAAATCTAGATGTTGAGACGATGTCTCGAGCAGAAAGAAGGGAAAATACGACAAAGGATGGATTTTAAAGGAGGAAGCTATCTCAGAGCTAAAAAAAAAAAATTTCCTATCTAGGTCCCCGAGAGGCTGTAGGGCTGTAACATGTGACCCCGGTAACAGTCCAGTGATGGGATTAATAGGAAAGGGAATTCCAAAAAGTCTTCACCTACCGCAACATTACTGCAGCAGCGATTAATGTGATGAATTTACTCAAAAACAAGGGTGAAAGAAAAAAATAATAAGCCAGACTTCTTTCCAACCTTCGAAGGCTTCCAAGAAAAAATGGCCCTTTTTGCCAAGGAAAGAGATAGTTTGTAATTAATTACGGAGTCCGTCCATCTCTACTCCGTAGTGAGACATGATCTCTCTCCTACCCCTCAGAATGAAAGAGGCTTGAAACTATGACGGGGATCAGCATCCTTTGGCCGCACTAAAAATTGCCAGGATTCGACGATCGTCCGTTTGCCCAAGGTTCAAAGTACTGTGCACACGTGCTCTTTTTTTCTGTGTATTATACCCTTGACAACAAGACCAGGATCTTTTAGACTATACATAACCATCTAGATATAGAGAGATCTCATATCCCCTCAATAAACACTAAACAGGAGAGTACAGCAGGACTGAAGTTACATCGCGCGGAACCAACCTTGTGCAAATTAAGCGAGCTGAAAGACATCTAGACTTGCAAGGATGTTTCCAACTCTACAGTTGCAGGTTAGGGCAAAGATAAGACTGAAAATCTCTGATTTTACATAAGAGATTTCATAAATAGTAAATAGATATCAGGGCACAGGTTGCATAGGCGGATGGTTGCCTCCTAAACGGGCTACCTCGAACTAAAAAAATTCCGCTGCAGAATTGAATATATCAATCTCTTGGCAACAGCAGATAGTTATATCTCCTCCATAAATTTCTTCCTTTAGAGACTCGATATCCTCTATCTGCTATATGAACTTTGAATTTTGTGTTCTTTTGTAGAAAAAAACAAGAACCAACTGAGTACAAAAAATGAATGAATTCACTCTATATTGTCCAGAAATCTTATAATAGCATGGTATTCTACGAAACGGAAAAGGGGAGATCTACACGGACTAACGAGTGGTCTAGGCTAATCTTGCCCTATTAGTTCAATCTTACAGACATGCTGCTAATATCTAGGTGCAGGACAACATGTGAATAATGCTACTACAACGTGGAAGGCATATTGCCATTCATCTGAAACCATTCTCGTAAGTTAAATCTCGCGTGAGATTTTAGGTCTGAAGCAGGATGAGAGAGAGTTACTATTTTGCTCGCAAGTGTAATATAAAAGTAAAGCAACGGATATCGTCAGTAGCTCATTCCAGCGGATATAGCTTTGGTATATCTACACAATGTATTCAATTACCTTGATCCTGCAAAAGTTTCTACATGGATATCTCAAGCCCGTGAGCCCACCGGCTAAATCCATTCCAAACGAGGAAGGTGGGCAGCAATCCCAAAACAGGAAGCCACGTCCCTGCTGTGTCTCGACACCCCTGCGCCCATTCGAAGATCTGCCTCCTACCTATGATCCCTCAACATGGTGGTTAGATGGCGAGATTCCCGCCTCTCCCCATTTCTGGGACGGAGAGAGAATTCGTTCTCACGTGAAAGCCATCAAGGGTGTCCTCTTTCAATACACTTTGGAAGGATGCAAACTCATGTTGGAGAGAACAAACAATCAGCCCCTCCTTTCCTCGATTACCCAACACGAACTACTTTGGAAAGCAGCAATCTCGGTCCACAAATATGGGGTTGTATACCTAGCCTCTCGGTGGGAGTGCCGGGAAGAATTCCTCCCAACGGTAGAATCCAACCATCACCTTTTCACAGAAATCAACGCCTTCCTCTCCTGCAACGACAATGTCATTCGTGTTATCAACTATGGTGTCCATCGACTGGTCAACAGTTCAACCTTCACCGTGGATTACGAGACAAGACTCATTCCTCCAACGGCCATATCAGCAATTGGCGTAAGCCACATTGCAGTCCGGGCACAGGATTTTGAAGGAGACAGTGTCCGCATGCTAGACAATCCGTCTGCCATCTGGGACCTCCATGATTTCGCCCATCTTTCCGCTGCCTCAGTGTCCCCAAGTCTATACGGCTCGAAATACTTCACGCATCTCGTCAAGCTCCCATGCGAGCTGACAGCCTTGATCCGCAGCCCGAAAATGCGGACCGCAGACCCTAATCCTCGGTATTCGGATGGACTGGTCTTCAGCGAGCTTCTTACTGTCCTCTTCACGGCTGAGATAGAGGCGGTGGAAAGGACGGAGAAGGTGCATACTTACGTATCCCTCACCAATACTTTGGCCGAGTATGTTGCAGATTATCTCATGGGGACACGTGAGCTGCAGCATCTGACCACGGGTAAAATGCTGAGGGTTAAAAATCCGATACGCGCTGTTGAGTTGGCGACTCTAGTGCAGAACAAGGCTTATGAACTGACGGCCAGCGAGATTGAACAGCGGGTACTTACGAGGGGGGGTCCTGCTGGAGACTCTAGGGATGAGCTGGACAACTTGTCTGCGTTTGAGAGAATCAAATTCCTTGCGGGTTGTCGGATATGGTTATATTTTGAAATGAGAAATACCATCAAGCACCGCGCCCACAGACTGGCTTACCAGAAAGTGGCTGAGCGCATGCTTGCACCGGAAACTGGGGTCTCTGTCACAAGCAATGATTATTTGCTGCTGAAGGGAGTCCTAAAAAGCATTCGTTATGAAGATTGGGAAAGCGACGGAGGGGTAAATCTTTGGCAGATGATCAAAGACCTTGAAGCTGGTGTTGATACGCACTGCTAGGTTTTGAATATTGTTGTATCCGAAGCACTTATGAGATGACGTTGTATTTATTTAGTAAAAAATTGAATGTGGAATTAACTTCAACAGTCATGTACATAGTACACTTCTTCCAAAGTTCCATGGTTGTTCTGCCCTGACAAGGTCGTGATTAGATTTTCCGGGGGATGGTACGGCCCGTCGGGGATCCGCAGCGGATCCCCAACAACATCCCAGAGAGATGACTTACGGTTGTTTTACTCCGACCACCATGGTATTTCAAAAATGAACTCATATGCATTCTATATGTACAGCATATAATTGAGTTCACCGGGCTGAATACTAACATATTTACCAGGACGTAAGCGTTCACGATGTGCCCTGTACTATCAGCAAAATTATGTTACGAACCCAGAAAGACGGCAGTATCGAGCTGGCTTGGACCCTCCATCGGGATATACAGACACAAGAGCACGTTATACAAGTTGGTATAGTCTATGTCGTTCGTCGGTTTCTGAAACTAGGTAAAATCTTGAATGACCAGGCAATAATACTGATAGCTAATCCAATCCACGGGTAGGAATACACGAGGCCCATACGACCTAGAGCTCTAGATCTCGGTTTGACATCCAATAGTTACATGTTTGTTGGAAAATGTGAAATTTGCGACGACTTGGCTATATATACGCTTGTCTTCTTCGTCAACCTCTCTTCCATCAAGACCCACCGTCAACATCAACAGGAGTTGCTTTCATCTCTCCTCTCTCAATCCCTCTGGTTGAACCACCGAGTCGCACGATGTTCCCATGAGCTCTGATGATTATGAAAACGTGGGGGTTTTTTTTGGGACCCTGAACTAATGGTTAAGGTTGCTCGTGCGATTAGTGACTCAATCGTCGGGTTCGACGGCTTTAAAAAGGATCACCGTCATACCACCTTCTAACGGTTAGGGGGCGTGGTGCAGGTGAGTCGTTCTCGTATCGATTTAGTCTCGATGCCGGCTTACTGACATGACGGGCCTGTTCATTTCTAGGACGTCTTGTCAATATAGGCCTCTCCCACATGTCTAGAACGGATCATATAGCCTACAGTGGCATCTACTCCCCGCAGGGGGGTCGTTCCCCGTGGCCTGGCCCGATTTCAAGCCAATGATCGAGAGTGAAACAATATACCCCGGGGATCCAGGTGAAGAATGACACCCCGGTGGAGGATGGAACCACCACACCGGTAGCAGTGCACACAGGCTTCTCATGGAGGGCAACTCAGGTGAATAATGAGTCCCAGAGTATCCCATGGAGAATGGAATCTCTGTCTCATAATTTTATGCGTCAGTGTGTGAAGGGGGATAAAAGTTGTCCATCACTTCCTTTGCCGGATTTTGCACAGATTCAGACATCTTCTTGTGTCACTGAAACGTCCAAAAGAGTTTCCTGATGAGCCTATGGAAGTCAAAGTTTCGTTAGAAGATCCAAACGAGCCAGGCTATTATATCGCGCAGGTAACGCAAACCAACGACTTGACTCGAGCCCTGCGGAGAAGAGGTCGTCTCGAAGTTCGGAAGGCTCATCCCATGAGCGTGAAGGAGGCCTATGAAATTTGCACACTACTACTACGGATCAACCAAATAAGGATCCCAGACTTGATCTTAATTCCAAGCCATCAGATCTCGAGCCATTGCCTAAAAATCGAACGTGGCAGTGCTAAGGATCAAAAGATGCTCTATAAAAGTTTGCGCAAATCAGTTGTTATTCTTCTCCTATCGTCTTTCCTTCCCGGTACGCATGGGAAGCCTAAAAGCGCTGATAGTATGAACGGCGTGTGTGGCTAATGGAAGAAGATCTATATATTCCGAATTTCACACCATGACGCTGACAGTATGACTACCGTGAAGGGAACTGGTGCAAAACAGCTAGCCAGAAGTGAGTGTGAACTACAAAAGGAAGGAAAATAAAGCGTCACTAACCCCAACTATACAGCGGTTATGTGGGTTTGTTTTGATACTCAACAAAGGTATCTGCGGCTACATTGCGGTCAATCAATGTACCAAATTCTGCTCGGGAAGTCTCAGTTGGCGGTAATGCCCAGTGTTGAACCAGGGATGCAAATTTCCTGTCAAAGGGAATATAGTACATACTGAAAATGGAAGACATTCGCTTCCGATGTACTTATGATGAGATCTGAGAGTGAATATAACTTTCTCGTTGTATGATTCGAGCTCGAACAAATGAATCTTTCAGGTATACGAATTTCTGCATATGATCCATTATAGCTGCTCTCCGCCAATTGCTTAGTAGTTAGTGATGATGTGGGTGGTAGGAAATGGGCGCCCTTCAACAATAGTCTACCAGCAGCAGCTCATGGTATCATATGGGGCCAAGCGAACTATTGGTTAGTTTCTTTTTTTGGGATCAATTTATGACACAACCCAGGATATCCATTCTGGTAGCAGTGACTTCATATTTCTCCCCCAAATGTCTCGTAAAAGAGAGTAGATGACTGCATCTTCTGGTGCTTATGGGAGTCGCGTACTCTGAATGCAATCGGTGAGCACCAAAATGGAAAGGGAGAGAGTTCGAGTGCCAGATATTATCTGGTATAATATGCAAGGGTTGAGAATCGTGATCAATCAAGCACAGACCGACATGCATGAGCTTCAATATTGGAAAGTATTACGTCTCCATGAAGTACACAAATCAGCCACATTGATAGTCTAGTCCAAGACCGGCGACTACATGCATGTTGAAAAAGAAATTCCCAATTTCGATTCAACATTCATTGCTCATATGTGCAGATGGCAAAGGGTGTGGCAGAGGTAGATAGTATGACAGGAACATTCGAAACAAAAGTAAGAAAAAGCCAGCCAAAGCCAGATGAGAGCAAGCGACATAAAAAGAAATCAAAGAAATACCAGATCAAATCAAGCGTACCAAGTCTACTGCGAGCCTGGATCTATGGCAAGGGGAATTGAGGTTGAGGGGGTCGTAGAGCAAACATGGAAATTTTAGGATATCGGAGAAAATGAAAAAGAGTTTAGGCATCCATCAGTCATACTGGAAGAGAACGCTGATACTTTCACCATGGTGCACACGGCGGATGGCCTGGGTATAAGTCAGTATATTATGCGGGATAAGTTGGACCTATGGGACTCACCTCGCCGAAAACGTGGCCGACTTCCAGGACCTCGAGCTTCGGGCAGCGGCGCAAGTGCTCAACTTGATCCACGCTGTTGGTCACAACGACCTTGTCAAGGGCACTAGCGTTGATGCGCTCGATGGCGTCGCCACTCAAGATACCATGAGTGAGAAGGGCATATACCTGAGATGCGCCTTCCTTCTTGAGCAACTTGGCAGCGCGAGTAATAGTATTCGAGGTGTCCGCCAGATCATCAATCAGAATGGTAATCCGATCACGGACATCACCAACCAACATCATGGTGGCATTTTGGCGGTCAGTGATTTTGGTGGGGCGGCGCTCCTATGAGATTGTTAGAAAATTACAGGGAAATTCAGGCGCTTGATAAGCCTACCTTGTGGATCAGGGCAAATTCCATGCCCATTTGGTCAGCAATTGCCGTGGCGCGCTTGGCACCTCCGGCATCGGGGCTGACAATAACAGCCTGCTTGTAATTTGGGATGTTGCGCTGAATGTAGCTCTTCAGAAGAGGTCGGCCGTAGAGGTTGTCGACCGGGATATCAAAGAATCCCTGGTACTGCGGGTCATGCAAATCCATGGTGATGATGTGATCGGCGCCGGCGCAGGTAAGGAGGTCTGCCACCAGGGTACCGGCCTGTGCAACCCACTGTTTGTAACCGGGACGCGGCTGGAAGGAATTGATCTTGGAGGCGCTGCCCGTTGCGTCGTCGGTAACGTTGGACAAGGACTTGAGGGAATCCGTTGTGTCGCTGCGGGGAAGACCGTTGCCCCGCCGCTTCACAGGGCTGCCAAAGCTATCCTCAAGCTGAGCCTTGGCGAGGCTCTTCTGGAGGCTTTCCATTCCATTCATCAAGCCCAGGCCTTCAGTTTTTCCACCGGGAGCCGGGGTCGGAGGGGTGCTCTCGAATGTATAGCCATTGGCGGGTTTGCCCCCCACCGAGGCTTTGACGAGAGGAGCACCGGCCTTGTCATAAGGAATATCACTCTGACGAGAGTAGGGGAAAAGAGGTAGGACGGCGGTGACTCGCCGGGCCGAAGCAGTCTTGCAGGCAGAGATGGTGATGAGAAGCTCTAGCAAGTGGTCGTTGACTTTTCCGCCGCCGGACTGAATAATGTAGACATCCTTTTCACGGACGGACTCTTGGATTTCAACTCGAGTCTCGCCCACGGCGAATTTTGAGAGGAGAACTTCTGCGGGAGGAATTCCGAGAACACCGCAAATGCTCTGAGTCAACTGAGGGTGGGAGTTGCCTCCGATGACGACAAGATTGCGAACCATAGTGTTTGTGTTTGTGGGTATATCGCGGGGATTGGAAGTAGGAAGGATCAAAGAGAAGGGCTCTCGATCCGAAGGAAATCAGATTTGGAGGGATCGGGTGGAGGGGGAGGAAAATCTGGGGTGCGATCTCGGTGAGCAGCCAAGGGAGTCAAAAATAAAGAGAGAACAAAAGTATGGGGATTCTTAAAGTTGTAGAGGACAGGTGCTACCTCATAGCGGAGAATGAACCGAGACTTCGAGGGACAAAGACATGAAACAAAAAAAAAAAATCCCGATGTGAGTCCCGCGATGGGAAAAAAGCCTCTTTGGAGTGGAGCGGACCTGTGGCTGATGCCTCAGGTGGCAAATGACCCGGATCGGGTAAAGCGTATGTCGTGACGAGGCCCCGCAGAAACGGCCCTTGAATCGCTTCTGGACAGACAGGAACGCAGTAAATGGTCAGCAGGTTTACTGCTTCGGATTTTCCATTTGATCCAATCCGTAGATATACATGATTTCTTCTCAAATCACCAGTCGCTTTGGAAATCTCGAGAAAAAAAGAAGGAAAAAAAAAGGATATTCATGCTTGACTCCTATGCTCCGGTCCCCGAGATAGTATGTACTAAGAAAAGAAAAACATAAAAGAGCTTGGCATAACTCTCCCACCGAGTGCAGTCTGCTCCGGGAATCCGTCATTCGCCTGTTCCAACCTCCCTAGAAAAGAGTTAGTATCATAGTCCCGGTATCTAACTGCAGGTTTGAGGCTCACAAGTCAAGTTGAACTCCATTGCTCACTCCATAATCCTCCAGTGTGAGTTGATCTTTAAAAGGCCGTTCGCCTTGGCGTTTGAGAAGGATTTCGTGGGGTTCACGGCCGATTCGAGCGGCCACTTGGGCTTTAAATAGCTCTGCGTAGAATGTTAGCACACTGGTAGCGATCAACAACAAAAAAAAAGAAGACATACTGATCGGATCTGAGGCAAGACAGGGGATCGCGGCTTTAGTTCCCAGACGATCATTGACATGGACCACAATCATGGGTTCTGAGGATTGCGCAACGACCGGCTTCTTCTCCTTCTTTTCTTTCTTCGCTGTCTTTTCCCGGTCTTCGCGCGGCGCATCTCGATCGTTACGTTGTTGGCCTCGGTTGCGGTCACCATCTCTCGATCTATCTCCATACCGATCGCCCTCTCGATCGCGTCGTGGCGATCGTGGTCGATCTCGGTATCCTCGTTCTAATCTGCGATCATCGCCGCGGGAATCGTCAGTGCGGCTTTTGTCCTTCCACCGAAAGCCCCCAGTCGTCTTTTTGGGGCGCTCTCTGTCGGGATTCTCTCTCGCGCGTGGAGACCTGCTTCGTGATCGGTCACCCATGACTGTGGATGGAGGAAAGATGAAGTTGCGTGGGTGCCCGACAAGCCCAGATGTAAACCAAATGAAGCTGTGAGGCACGTGATCAGATGCAGCTCCCAGTGGGGTTCGCTAGTCCCAGATTGGATTAGTGTGTTTATTCACATCAGGAGCTCTCCTGTCTAAAGTACGCTTGAATCTCTCCACACTTTGGTCTACCTCTTGAATAGACAGGCTGCAATGCAAATTGTCAATTAATTTTAGCGCTGTTGCTTTTTATCTGACTCCTTTATACCCGAAATGGCAGGCCGACTAAAGGTTCAGCGTCCCTCTCCGACGACCGTCTCCTTCACGGTATCGAACGCGCCCCAGCGGTCGAGTTCCCCCGCTAAAATCTTATTCGGTCTTCAAGTACTGCTGCGTACGGTTTTATTTTTCTGTGTGATCGGTGTCGGCATTGCGCGCGTCCGAAATTTCTTTTTCCAAGAAGATGGTAGGGTGATAAGCTGGCCAGCTGTGTGGTCTAGCCCGCTCGGATCCAAACTGTGTCGCTTGGTGGATTCATACAACCCGCTGGCAATTTCTGTGGTCTGTACATTGGTGATATACGGTGTTTTCAGAAGAGGTTACATAGGTAGGTTGAGAAGGAAGCATTGGCTTTATTAGATCTGTGCAAGGCTGATTGTTCGACAGAGGAATCGCTCTTGGTTATTCGAGGTTTCGGAATCCAAACCTCGACATCGTCCTCGACCTATCTTTCTACTGCCTCAACAAGGTTCATTCCTACCACGCAAATCCAGGACATTGTGATTCACGAAGCCTTCAAGGGCTTCGAAGTCCGCTTCTATTTGGCGGTCATTGTTGAAGGCGAGCCCGATGCCCTGGTTGTCTTCCCGGTATGTCATATCCTCAGCGTTATGTACTCGAATCTAATTTTGTGACTAGCATATGTTGCCCAAGCGAGAGATCTTAGAGCAGGTTTGGAGGGGTTCTCGGCGGTGTCTTTACGACGCGAAGTCATGATATACCCATAACCTCTGCCTGAAGAGATATCTGTTTGTGCAAAACCCTGTCTTGCTTAACCCCGAGGTTCGATGCTCTATCAGCGAGTATATACAACAAGACTCATTCCAGTGCCTCCCTTGCAGCCTCGATCTTTGCTAGTCTTCGCTGCTTTGTGACAAGTCCTTTGGCATTTTGAACTTCCACGGTCTGCATCTTGGACTTCTCATCGACGGGGATATATTTCCCACCAACAACAGTTTCATTTCCACCATACCAGATCTTGGCACCTCTGTTTGCTCTCTTGGAATCTCCCGCGATTTGCCATTGGTTGTCTATGTCTTCCATGTTCTGATTACCCTGACTGACCGTCAAGTCCAGCAGAGCACCTGCCAGAATCTCATCGATCTTTCGCTTTCTCCAGACTGTCCACAAACTTTCAACGGTGCCCCGCATCCCGAACTTGCTATCACCCTTGGCGCTTCCCCTGCTGTTTGCAGGGCTGTCACCAGCATAGACCCAGTTCAAGGAATCCAGACGACTGCCAGACTCTATGTCGGGGAAAATGCAGTCCCAAAGGACCAGTGGAGCATCATCAGCCATTGCATAGGTCGGCTTTCGCGGATTCTTGGCAATGTCCAGCAGTTCAGGAACGATAGATGGGGACTCGAGTCCCTGTCCGACTAGGAACAGAATTGCTACCATGTGGCGCACCTGGTGCCACAAGAAGGCCGAACCGTGGAGGTTGAACGTGTAGATCTGAGGGACACTTTGAGAAACCGTGTCGGGGGTAATCAGATCCGGTTCGGGCACACAACCCTCTTTAGCCTGGAATCCAGGTTTACCAATATAGCCCACGGGGTTGACCTTGGGATTGACGGCTTCGATACTAGAGTGATGGATAATGCGTTCGAAATTATCAATCTGCTTGTTGGTATCCAACTTGCAGAAATTCCGGAAATCATGCAAACCCTCGAAATGCTTAGCTGCCTCGCGCATGGCCTCAATGTCGAGCCAGCCCTCGCGGAATTCAGAACGCGGGCCCTTGCCATTCTGTGCACGGTTCTGGAACCCAATGGACCCTGGGGTTGGATTGAACGCCGGGTTGGTGAAGAAGTACTTGTACCGACGTTCACGGCAGGAGAAGCGGGCATCGAAACCAGGGGGCGGGTTAGGACACCACGCCAGAACCCTGATGTCTTCAGGAAGCACCCTGTTTAGAACATTGATATAGTTCATCTCATCGACTACATCATCCCACTCCTTTTCAGTAGATCCCGAGTCAATGTTCATCGCATCCTCGCCCTCGGCGGGGGGCTTGGGCATGGGTCGTTGACTGCGGACCCGCAGTCCAATAACCTGCCCAAAAGCGCTCACACCCTTATCCGTACGACCTGCTTTAGAGTAATCGCATCCATCCCAGTAAAGGTGGTAGGGGCGCATGGGGACGCGCTCTTTATCGGTTGGCTCCATATCAGAGGTAGTCTCGGGAGCGATGAGGCGTGTACGCCGCAATGCCTTCCACAGAATCTCTTCAACGGTTGGCAGGGGTGTGGTATTTCCATTTGTATGTTCGAGCCCATTGTATGCCTGTCCCAGGTATGCGAACTTGAGCGCAATGAACCGCGTGGAGTATTTGGAGGGGTCAAAAATGCGATCAGGTTTTGGAGGTTTCGGGGCTTTAATGAACCGCGACGGCGCAGGCACTGGGGTCGTATCGCTATCTGGAGGAGAGTGTGGTCGCTTCTTAGAAGGATTGAAGGCCTCGGGGAGAGGGATCGCAGGTTCCTGGACATCGGTGGAGATGGGCGCAGAGGAAGAGCGGGGAGCCTGCGATGGCTCTTCGGTCGGCGCTGTGAACTCTGCTGTCTGGGATTGAAGCTGGCGCTCTAGCTCTGTGATGCGCGCGATCAGGCTAGAGTTACTCCAGACCGAGTAATCGGTTGGTCCCTGAATGTTGGTGTCCGCCATAGTTTGGGATGTGAGAGTGCGAGATAGGCACAAGTATCGGGCTTGTCTGAGGGATTGTCGGAGGTTGTGACTCAGTGGAAATAGACTTGCAGACGGTTTCCACATACCACGTCAAGCGACCGAGGCTGAGATTAATCGGTGTGGGCGTTCAACCGGCGGGATTCGAAATTGAAAAAGTTCCGCGGAGGCGCTGTTTGGTGTTTTTTTTTGTATTGAATCTTTGTATTGGATTGTAATTACATCAACTCCATGGTTACAATTGCATGTATTTGATGTATAGCATTGTACTGTAATATTTTGATTGCAAAAAAGGTACTTTGGGGGTTTTCTTTGCATATGAAGACACGCAATACAATGTTTCAATAGGCATAATTGACATGATGTTGGGGCTGTAGGAACAATATATATATCGATAACCACGTTGGATCTGCCAAGCATCGAACCTTATCACCGAATTCATCGCCTCTCTAATTTAAAACACACTTACTGTGCTTGGTTGTCGTGGAATTACTCATATAGCGGAGACAAGTTTCTGCAATATACCACTTGATTGACAGGCTGAAGGGTGCAAGTTGATCAATACTCGGACAGTTGCACATAAGCTGGATCAACAGCCATTCCAGCATGGCTGAGGCAGATCCTCACCCGGACAGTAACAACTCAGTCTCTTTACTTTTACTCGGAGATGCAGGATGTGGGAAATCAACATTCTTAACGTGAGTATCTGATTGTTCCACCAACTGCGACCTTGGAAGCTAGTTTGTCTGCAATATCCACACGATTCCATAGGACTATATATACAACATTGTGTGAGACATGCTAACATGATGCAGTCGCCTGAAAAGTGGAAGACTATCCCCATCAGGGCTCTCTAATAATGACCCAAATACGCTTGAATTATTACGAGATGGTGATCAGCCTTTCATTTACGACATCCGGTTCTCAAAAAAGGCCTTTACTCTAGAACTTAACGACACATCCAACCCAAACCAGCATTGGACAAATCTTCGACCTGACGTGGTTGTTCTAGCCTTTGATATCTCCAATCGAGACACACTTGATGGACTAAAGGAGGTAGGTCTCACATATATATTCGGAGCAACTGTCAATACGTGCTGAAACTCAATGTTGTTCCTTAGTGGCGAAATGACATTACGCGTTACTTCCAGTACGGTCATGGCGAGCGCCTTCCAGTGATGATGATAGGCCTGAAAAGAGACCTGCGGAGAGAAGGCGAGGGAATCATCTACCCACAAGAAGTGAGTGACTATGAGCTGGAGTTTTATGCTTTGGATTGACTAACTGAGTTGTCTAGGGCTATCGTATTGCGCAGGAACTCCGTTGCGATAGATACGCCGAGTGTTCCGCCGTCACAGGCGAGCTGCTCGCAGAGACGTTTGAAGATCTCGCTAGATTAGCAGCAATGACGACGACCGAAAAAGGAGGACAGTCTGAGGGAACCTCTTGCGTTATTCTTTGATTATCTTGTTATTTCTATCTTGTTTCCCATACCCAGGCATACCCAGACATGATAGACCAGTCGCGTCAATGCCTAAGATAGGTATGCAACGCGTTGTTAAAATATACTCGCCTAGATGACAGGGAAGAGATCTGTCCCTAGACTATCGAGTACTCTGCAGACGGATAGTATACAATATACCGAGGGGAACTCTGACCTGCTAAGGTTGCATGGATGGCATTGTGCCCTAGAAGGTGCACATATTTGATTACACGATCAAGTCTACAGCCAGGCACATACACTACAAAACCTACTGGATATGATACCAAGCACAACCTTTTCAGATTACTAGAATACACACAGGGAGAAACCAAGGTAACGATTAAGTCCACCTTGTGAATTGACAGCACAGGGCTTTCCCCCAGAAGCTTCGTAAATAAAAGCAACTGGATCTCTTTCCCTCATAAGCGCCAGTCAACGATTGGCATGGCAATTCCTCCCCGATGCGAAAACATGGAAATAAAAAAAGTGCTGGTAAGATGAGACCACTGAGGCAAAAGATAGAAAGGTTCCCGGTGAAAGCTCGTTTTCTTCTGCTGTTTTTCAGTTTCTTTTGGGTTTTTTGTGAATTGCACACAGAGACTAGGATAGACATGTCAAGGGAATTTGCGGGAGATTGTAATCCATTGGTGTGAATGGAGTAGATGGTGTATAAGAGAAAACATGAGCATTTCTTCGATTCCCGTGCCTCGAGGGACCCTGAAAATCGTCACAATCATCCCGGATCACCAAACTTTTTATTGAGATCAAACTTCCCCCCCCTCAACGACTATCCTCGTCACCGCGAAGCAATTTACCACTTGGCCTCACCAGCGGCGGGCTGAGCCTCAGCCCACTCGGTGGTAGCGGGAGCGGAGCTGGCAGCCCAGTCGGCACCCTCGGCGTCCCAGCTGGTGGCACCGGCAGTAGCGGTGGCAGCAGAGGCAGCAGCGAAGGCAGTGCCGGGGTTACCAGCGCCAGGGGCGGAGGCATCCCAGTTCTCACCAGCGAAGCCAGACTCGATGGCACCAGCACCGACCTCCTCAGCACCGGCGACCTTGGCCTCATCAGCAATCTCCTTGTTCTCCTCGGCCTCGGGGTCGCGGTAGAAGTAGAGATCGACAACGGTGTCCCACTCGGTCTCGCGGGTAGCGAGGGTACCGCGGAGACGGAGGACCTCACGGGCGAGCATCCACCAGACGAGACCGATGGCGTGACGACCCTTGTTGTTGGTGGGGATGGCAACATCGACGAAGTCGGTGGGGGAGTCAGTGTCGCAAAGGGCAATGACGGGGATGTTGACGTAAGAGGCCTCCTTGATGGCCTGGGCATCAGTGCGAGGATCGGTCACGATGATGAGACGGGGCTCCTTGAAAGAGCGGGTGATGTAGTTGGTGAAGTTACCGGGGGTGAAACGACCGGCAATGGCGGTGGCACCGGTGTGGGAGGCGAACTTCAGGACAGCACGCTGGCCGTAGGGACGAGCGGAGATGACACAGACATCGGCGGGGTTGTCAATGGCGGCGATGATACGGGCGGCCAGGACGATCTTCTCCCTATTTCAGTGAAATATATATATTAGACACTATACTACAGTCAGAAGTCGTTTTGCTTTCGCGCATACCAGGTCTTGCCAATGTTCAGGACGTTGACACCGTCGGCGCGGAGCTTCCAGAGGTAAGGCTCCATGTGCACCTGAAGGTTCTTGGAACCAAGGTGGCACTGAGCGGCAAGGAGCATCTCAATGTCCTGCGCGGTAGGGTTGAAAACCGGGGGGAGCTGGGAAGGGGCCATGTTGGGCGATTGATGGATTGATGAGTTGGAGGATCAATCGTCTGGCTCTTGTCGTGGTGATGGAGGGGAAAAGATCAAAGCCAAGCCGCAAAATTGTTGCACTCTCGCGATTCGGGAGAATTTCGCTTGCGTGCGCTAGGGCTAGGGCTCCAGGGCCCGCTGGGGTATTGGTTATGTAATACTGAGCTTGGCTCTGTCTTCACGTGATGCTAGATGCCTGGGGCATAAAATATCCTGACTAGGATTAGCGTAACTAGACCTCCGGCCGCAAGATTTCCCGACGAAAGGTCGATGGAAAAGAGAAGTTGATTGTTACAGTAAAGCCATCTACTCGCCAGCTACGCCCACCATGCCTCCGCGCATTTCAGTCCAGTCCTCTCTGAAGGCATTGACCGGTATGCTAGTCGAAATCAGTCAAGTGAAATGTTTAATTACCTGGGTGCTAACCAAGACTCGTATAGGATCAACCTACGGATCTAGCCCGTTGTCCAATTCGATCAACACTTCTGTCAGAGCTGCGTCCAGCAAGGTTCAAATCCGGAGGAAGCATGACCCATTCCTGATGGCCCAGGCGCGCCAGCGCAAGGCAGCCAATGTCTCCCGCCAGAAAGTCCTTGCGGAGGAACGGGAATCCTCGCTCGGAGACCCTGTCAAGAGCCAGCCGACACCATTTATCCTAGAGATGACAGCAATCCAAAGCAACTCACACATCCCATCATCTTTGTCTGAGGATCTCAACTATTACTTGAAGTCAAGCGAGCTGAATGCCGCCCTCGATTTCTCCAAGGATTTGACCGCACCGCTTAAGAATCCCGATCGCAACGCAGCCGATCCTCAAGCCGAGAAGGAGGCATTGAATTTGCATAACCAAGAGCATAAGAATGCCCAAGAAGCGATTAACCGGATTGTGAATCTGAACAACGGAAACACCAAGGATCGCGTGCGCCTCAACATTACAAAGTGCATCGAAACATTCGGGCGACACTACACAGACTCAAATCTCCCACCCAAGCCTTCGGCTGTGGCCCACGAATCCGCCCCTGTTCATCCGGAACGCGCACCTCGTGTTGGACCCGATACCGGCTCTGCGGAGGTGCAAGCCGCGATCCTGACCGTGAAAATCATGAACCTCTCCCGACACCTCGAGACCGCCAACAAGGACAAACACAACAAGCGCAACATGCAACTACTAGTCCACAAACGCCAGAAGCTGCTGCAATATGTCCGCAAGAAGGAACGTGGAGGTCCCCGGTGGCAGAACCTGATGGGGACATTGGGATTGTCTGACGCTGCGTGGAAGGGGGAAATTGCCCTATGAAGGGCATTGTTTTAATAAGAGGTCTTGTGTATCTCTACACCATTCTCTTCTTTTGTGATTGGCTGGCTTTGAAAAAAGTATCAGCGTGTTACTATGTATCATCTATCTAGGAGCTAGCGAGGGGTACTTGTTGGTCTATGTCTCTATTTCCATGTTTCATTCGCAGAGCATCTGTACAAATAGCATTGTTTCTTTTCCCATATCTGTTTTCATGTTGAAATATGTTGAAGTAGCCAACTTGCCATTGAGGCATAAGTTCTGGAATTTAGGAGGTTCCTCTAAATGATCGCTGGTGTTTTTTCAGGTGAGATGGCCTCTGTCGATTAGGCTATTGGCTATGGACATAGATGTTAAGTGTACAAAAGCTTTGATCGATAGATTATAATGGTGACGCGGAGTAAATATTCTAATAGCACCCATGAGCAACTGATTATATTCTGGGCTTATTTGAGAGGACTGGACTATGAAGTGTGCGGGGGGAAGTTGGATCTCATCTGAGATTTGAGGAGACAAGAATAGAACAGACAAGACTACAGAGTAAATGAATTAAGTCTGGAAATAATAAAAAATGATATACAACATAGAATCTTAAGACGACAGTAGCTTATTGAAAAGAACAAAGCATGATATTAGAGAACAATGTCAATAATTGGAACAATAGTCCACGGGTCTCCCTTGCGACGGCCAGCTATGGAGGTTACACCGCCCTGAGAGCAAACATTCTGCCGGGTCGCGCCTTCCGAATTTGAAAAAAGTGACATGATTTGGTCAAAAACGGTTCCTTCCCTATCATTTGGTCGCGTCTAGCAACCGTGTTGTTTACATCTCGCCTTTTCTTCTTCATCTATCATCTTCTTCTCTTCTCTTCCCCATCACCCACAACGTTACCATCCAAAGCATTGCCTTTGGATATCTCTCGCCAGAGTCTTTTGTGATCGACTCTACCAAATCGGTTAGTATGTACATATGTAGCCTTTGGATATCTCTGACTGATCCATTACATTTCAACAAGACTTTCCTCACTTGCCCCTCACCACCTTCCCCTCGCCACCAACCCTCTCCCTCCTCATCTTGCGCGTTTCGCCAAGATGAGACTGCGGTCGAACCACGTTCTTCCGCCAATCTCGGACTACGTCCCACGCCGCCGGCGCACGACGCGGAGTGCGTCGGCAGCTGGGACGGAGGATCCCGAGACCGCGCCCGAGGTGGCGCAAGAGACCGTGTCCGAGACACAGTCCGCTGCAGAGAGGCCCGCTCCAAAGAGGAAGCCAGCCAAGAGAGGCGGCCGCAAGAAGGTCAGTTCAGAAGCCAGACGTCACAATCTTTCATAACTAACTCGTATTTCTAGAAGGCCACGGCAAAGGGCAAGAAGGCCGCCGCCCCCGCTGGGGAGCTTGAGGACGCCGAAGCCCAAGCCGAGTCCCAGGAAGACTCCGTTGCGCTCATCCCGTCGGTAGAGCAACCTGACACCCGTACGTTGCCCCCAAAGCCCCCCCGGGCACCCCCGGCCCCCCCGCGCATGTTCAGAGGACGAATTATTACGGCCTTCAAATACGGCAGTGCCAGCGAACTCCTGAAACAGGAGCCTGAGCCAACTCCCTCCCCTCCACAGACCCCCGTGACGCACTATGCCTGGCCGCCTGGAAGAGCCTATGACAAGCTTCGTCGAATCCCCTGGTCACTCCCCTGGTCCCCACCATCTCCCTGGAGGGGCTGGCCACGCAGAATCCCTGTCATTAACACCCCGGATGAAACCCCGCTGACCCCCACAAAAGAGCCCAGCAGGAAACGAAACCGATTGTCCGAAGACGAGCCCTCGCCGTCCAAACGTCACAAGTTGACCCTTCAAACTCCCCCCGGCTTTGAAACCCGTCCTCGTGGCAGCTCTCGCAGAACTTATGCGGATCGCGCGCGGCGACGCGAAGCGGAAAGGGATGGACGAATCGATCGCACTATTTACCGTTTCCCTCAGCTCTTGGCTCAGCAGGGAGAAGATGCGAGATCTGGCAGTTCGACTCCTCCGGCCTCTCATGCAAACGAAGAGACCGCGCCCCATGGTAATCGCATTGTTCCATTCACTTCATTGCCTTCTGCACTTCCACCTAATCAAACTCAAAATCAAAACCGACCTGGTTGGCGACAATGGATCTTCAACTCCGTGACTGGTCTTTGGGGACGAGGCAACGTGCCCCCCCAGACCGCAGAGGTCCCGCAAGGTAGGTGCCCCTTATATCATGGTATATATTTCAAGTGGCTAACATAGTTATTCTAGTGGCTGAACCTCAAAATCCAATGGGAAATGAATCTTCTTCTGTCACCACACCCTCCTCAGCCCCCCATCCGTCCTCCTCCTTTAGGGCGCCCAGAAATTTCGAATCTCCCACTCCGCGCCCACGCGTTGCAGGGCCAAACTCGCGTCTGACAGCCAGCGCACGCGCTCCACGAGTTGAAAGAAATAAATATTCCTACGATCTGTTCCCACGGGGTTTCGACCCAGAACTGCTCGCGCGCATGCGTGCCGGGAAGTCGGATCCTGCGGACATTGAGCCCGTAACTTCAGAAGAGCAAGTTCGTGCGATCTACGAGAAAGAATCGAAGAAGCGCAAGCGCGCGCCGTCACCCGATGTCATTCCACACCCTCCAGGATGTAGTTACGGTTTTGACCCAGATTACTTTATCTACGATGAGGACGATGAGGACTTGCCCACAGGCGAGCAGGGACCCCAAGATCCTGCGACCAAACAAGCTACTGTCAGTGATGCACCGGAAGAGGAGCATGTCTCCAAGCGTGCACGACAAGATACTACGGCCAAACAAGCCACAGTCAATGACGCACCGGAAGAGGAGCATGTCTCCAAGCGTGTGCCCCAAGATACTACGACCAAGCGAGCTGCACCCAGCGATGAACCGAAAGAGGAACATGTTTCCAAGCGTGTTCGCTCTGACACTACCCACCTCGAAAGCTTCAACGACCAGGGCGCATCACAGCCCATCGAAAGTTCCGGCGACGAACTCCGCAAGGCCCGTCAGCAGGCAGAGCAGTACAAGCCGAAGACCCCCAGTCGTCTTCGAGCGGCCCATCGTTTCTCGAGCAGCTGTAACTCGTTCATTGACGAGGACGTCCTCCGTCGCCGCAAGATGAGAAAAACCTCACTGGCTACAGCATGCCCTACCGGCGATCTGAGCCAGATCATCTGGCCGGAGACTGAATCTTGGGTTGAGTGCTTTGACTGGCACGACCCTAACCTTGACAAGTACCGGAAGCACGCATACCCCACTTCCCGGCGATTCCCCACCGCGGAGTCCTATATTGATCACCACCATGGGGTTTTCATGGATCGGCTTGCTGCTCGGCGTGCTGCCAAGTAAAAAAAAAAACAAAAAAAAAAACACTCACTGACCACGGCATGCCTTGCGGGCTGTCTGGACCATATCATCTGGCCAGTGACTGTTGTGAAATAGCTCCTGAAATATGCCCTCAACTACGCTCCCACCTACGGTCTCAAATACCCTCTCAAATACTCTCTCAGATACCGTCTCCAAAACCATCTCAAACCAATTTTGGGATACGTTCTGAAATACATGAACATTTTGAAAATTTTGAAAAAAAAGATGCGCTTACTCCAGGATTTCCCTGGCCCGCCTCCCCAGGCTTGGGCCAGGTTTTGAGACCCTTCTGTATGTTCTATCGTTGCGACTCGTCTGGGACCGCCTTGGATCTCCTTATGGATCGATCCAGGCATGGGCCTAGGAGTTGAAGTTTTTTTGATCTTTTTGCGTTTTGCGTTTTTTTAGTTTTTTGCGTTTTTAGTTTTTTGGCTGCTTTTTAGCGCATTGTCATGTCATGAGTGAATATTAGCGTTGTTAGGTAGTATTTGAATGGAATGATTAGCTTCCAATGCAAGTTAACAGATTGTAAAGATGAGGCAGAGTAGACATCGGAGAATTGAATATAATGTGGTATCGATATAGACATCTACTATGCTACCTAGGTATTTTCCGACTAGTCAAAGCCCTGGAATTCACCATCGCCCTTGGCTTCCTCCGCCTTGCTAGCTTGGTTCAACAGCCGCTGCTGCTCGTTCTTAGCACGAATCTCCTCCAACATGCGCTCTGTTTCAAGAGCCTTCTGCTTCTGATCCTCTGGCAATTGCTCCCATCTCTCCTTCTCCTTGCGTGCCTTCTTGAACTCCTTCTTTTTGAACTTCTTATCCTTTTCTTCAGTCTTCTGACTCCAAGCCACACTCTCCGTAGCACGGCGCTTGTTAGATCCCTGCTCAGTGCCTTGTGCATTAGCAGCCTCCGCCATAGCCTCCTTGCGGCGCTTTTCTTGCTGCTTGTCCTTGTACGTGTAGTTGTGCCACTCAAGTTTAATGCCCAACGTGCGATCTCCTTCAAATGAGCGCGCTTCAGGCATCTTCGGCAACTTGAGGAGTCCCCATGCCTTGCCAAGAGCTTCCCAGTCCAGATCCGCAACTCGGAAGATACTGCTCGCTTGGTGCTTGCTGTAACTGCGCAGCCAGCTGACGAATGCCTTCTGGCCCTTGTCGTGCATGGCGCGGTCTTTCAACACCGCTTTGCGGACTTTGTCTATCGCGGCTGTGGCCTGTTCATCGGTGAACTCGGGTAGGTTGTATGGCGCGACGGGTGTTTTGCGGATTTCCAGGAAGGATACGTAGTCCTCCTCGCGGCCTGGGTGGACAAGAACGATGCTGAGACCTCGACGGCCGGCACGACCGGCACGACCGCATCTGTGAATGAAGGTTTTGGGGTCGGAAGGTGGGTCGATCTGGACTACTAGATCGACGGAGGGGATGTCGAGACCGCGGGCGGCAACATCGGTGGTGAGGAGGATGGAGGGGGTTGTAGAGGTGGTGAAGCGGTTGAAGTTCTTTTGGCGGACGTTGGCTTGGTGTTTTCCGTGTAGTGGGACTAGCACAAACTCGTCTCCTAGGATTATGGGTAGTATTGTGGCGAGGTAGTCGACACTGGAGCATGTGGATACGAAGAAAATGGTTTTTTGAGGTGTGGGCTGGACCGTGGAAAGGATGTGCTTCAGAATGGCGTATTTGTGAAGCGGAGGGGTTGTCAAGTAGGTCATTTGCAGACTATTCAGTGGTTAGATTGGTGGTTGTTTTTTGAATTTGGAAAAACGAGATCAAATGACATACCTCGCTGGAGTGCGCTTTTCTTCAACGCCAGCTCCTCCTCTGACCTTGACGGCAATTTTGACAGGATTTCGGAGACCAAGTCGGACGATCTGATCAACAGCCTCGCTGATACTGGCACTGAACAATCCTGTACGTCGCTGCTTAGGCAGGCGGCCCAAGATCTTCTGCAGGTCGTCCTTGAATCCAAGATCAAGAAGTCTGTCGGCCTCGTCCAGGACAAGCATTTCAAAAGATGCCTGAGGGCAATGAACGTGAGGCGACGAAAGCAGTTCCAATAATCTTCCGGGTGTAGAAACCAATACATTGGGCGAATTTTTGAGGAATAATTTCAGATCTTCTGCCGGAGATGTTCCGCCTCCCAGAAGGAGTTGTGGGACGACTCTCAATGTCGATGAAGAGGGTTTCGCACGAGGAGCACCCTCTTCGGCGGGTTTGATAGCTGCGGCCGACGCTGGGTGGAACTCCAACAGCGAGAGGAGAACTTGGTGAATTTGCGAGGCCAATTCTCTGATGTATCAATATTAGCGACGAGCTCTGCAGACTTGGATTTGCGCATTAACCCACCTTGTCGGAGAAATGACAATGGCTCCAACATGATGCTTCTTGAGAGGCTGATCAAGGCGAAGCAGCTTTTCCACAATTGGAATCAAGAACGACAATGTCTTTCCACTTCCAGTGACAGCTTCCACCACCACATCTTTATGTTGCATAAACAGAGGAATGGCCGAGGCCTGGACTGGAGTCATGCGCGTGAAGCCCATTGAGCCCACAGCATCGAGGGTCCATTCTGAAAGCGGGGGCGTGAGAGCATCCCACGCTCTTGAAGATGACTTGGGAGGCATTTATAAATTCCAACAGACACCGAGTCGTCAAATTGCTTCACGAGTCGCGATCGCAAAGAAAAAAAATTATCCGTTATCGATTAGATACCAGGCACGTGACTGCGGCTGTGGTCGGAAACTGAGATCGTGATCTGCTTTTCCCTCGACTTAGTCTTGCTTGATTTACTTTACTTTTATTTAATATAACAGGTGCTTGGTGATCGCATCATGTACTGGAATCCTGCCTTGTGTCTCCAGCTTATTCGCCCATAAATCAACGATAAAGCACTGTCACGTGCTATCAAACCGCCGTCATTGCTTTGTTAGGAAGCCCATTGATAATCCGTGGCATATTCGCTTGCGACAACGCAGATATCTGTACACGGTCACCTTCTGGTGTCGTCCGAGTGGCATCGCTCCCTTCTTTTATATTAAGGGCACCCGACATGTCCTCACCAAACCCCGTACCGGCGACACCTCGCGTGATATCTCCGTCCCCCTCTATATCGGACCCGTCCGAGACACCCGATGGATATCTCGCACCGGTAACACGGTCTGCAGCACGTCGCCGGCATCAGCCAGAAGGCTCAACCGAAAGTTCCGGCTCAGCGCGAGCATCAAGATCCCCCGCGACACCCTCGGCTCGCCGCACCCGCCGATCAAACCCCAAGATACCCGCCTCGCCGCCGCGCTCACCCAACGGTACTGCCTCGAACAACCTTTTATCCCCCTCAAGCATTCCTGATGCCCTGCGCGACTTGTCAAGATCCCCATCTCCTCTCGGCCTGATCCCGCTCCACGCCCGCTACCGCAGCTTCATTCACCGCCATGAGATCCCGCGCAAGCTTTTGCACGTGTCAATTGGATTTTTGACTTTGTCATTATATAGCCGAGGCGTGCAATCTCTGCAAATAACACCTGTCCTCTTTACCGCACTAGTTCCGATTGCCGCAACAGACCTTATCCGTCACCGCTTCGAGAAGGTCAACAAGGTATACATCCGGTGCATGGGTGCCCTCATGCGTGAAACAGAGGTCACCGGCTACAACGGCGTGATCTGGTATCTCCTTGGAGCATACGTTGCTCTCCGCTTCTTCCCCAAGGATGTTGGTGTCATGAGTGTGCTACTCCTTAGCTGGTGTGACACCGCCGCCTCGACATTCGGTCGTTTGTACGGCCGCCACACCCCTCGTCTGCGGCCTGGAAAGAGCTTGGCTGGTACGATGGCGGCATGGCTCATGGGCGTTGTTACCGCCGCTGCTTTCTGGGGTTGGTTCGTGCCTTACATTGGTGATTTCCCTAATGACCCGGAAAATGCCTTCATGTTTACGGGACGCTTGAATCTGCTCCCGAACTGTGTTCGCGGCCTTCTGGGTTGGGAACACAGTGACTCGGCGGTCATTACTGGCCCCTTGGCTTTGAGTGTCATGAGTGTCGTCTCTGGCGTTGTTGCCGCTGGCAGCGAGTTCATTGATATGTGGGGCTGGGATGATAATCTGACGATCCCGGTGTTGAGTGGAGTTGGCCTGTGGGGTTTCCTCAAAGTGTTTGGGTAGATGGATAGATGATACAGCCCCGATTTATCGGCGCTTGCACAATATTCCCTTTTCGTTTTCTAATATTATAGCTGTTTAATATCTGGACATGTCTATTTTCTGGCATTGCGCTGCATGAAGAATTGGATTCTTGTTTAGATAGGGACTGGCTGAAGTCCCGCCCAAGTTGATACTCCTCTTTTCTCCTTGATTATACTCTTTGGATGTGTGTTCTGCATGGTTACTTTCTGGACATGGCTTTTGTACGTTTTTTCAGATATACGCACATGGTCTTCTTATTTACAAAATTGCTCGCAACATATACATGACATCCAGCAATCCATAAGACATCAGCTTGCTGATTCTTAACAAAAAAGATTCGATCCATCCAACACCGTAGGATAACCAAAAATGCTATTGCACCACACATGCTTGTATTCCAAAACCTCCAGACCCAGAAAAAATCAAATTGATGCTAAACGCCGGCCCACCAAAACGAGAAGAGGGGTATATTAAAAGCATTAATCAAACGAGGTCAAGAATGCTGACGCGTGGGATTCTTTTCTTTTTGGTGGCCTGTCTGCGCGCTGTGCTTAGGCTATCGGCAGTTGAGCCTTCGCACGGCTCTTGTTCAGGCGGAGATGGGTCGATCGACCAAAAGCCGTCGTGCAATATAATGTTTTCCAGGTGTCCCGTGGTCTTGTGCTTCGAAGTTGTGCTCGCCGTCTCCTTCGAAGACTTCTTGGGGGACTTTACGTCGTTGGTCTCATTATTCTCGCATGTTTTCAAGCTCAATGGCGATGTTTTCTCCGGCTCGAGTTCAGGCTTTGGGTTGACTTGAC